TGACAACATCCAAACTCAAACATAAATATCCTGTTATCCTTGCTGTTTCCCATTTACTGAGAGCAGCTGACTCTGCAAAACACTTGGAAAGACTAAACTAGATCTCCTCCTCTCTACAGTTATAGGATGCAAGACATCAGGCCACAACTAACACAAACAAAATTTCAAAACAAAGAAGATTCTAACTTGATTAAGAGAGAAAGCAACATCCATTTTATAAAAGGAAGCTAACTGAATGAATCCATTATTCTGCGATGCTGAATTTTACTGCTACGCAAATGTGCAGTTAAAAAAAAAAAATCAAGTCATTAACACATTACTTTTTTCATTACTAAAATTGGAACAGTGTCAAGCCAGCTAGCAACAATAAACATGTTTTGCATTTCAAGGTTAATAAAACAGTTCTATTCTTATAGCAAACATGACCACGCTGAATTGCTGCCAAAACATTCCTAGGACTAGTGTTTAGAGGCAGAGGCCAAATCCTTCAACTCTGCATATATAGAGATGAAGGACAAAGGACTAGAAACTAAAAGCCAAATCTACATGAACATGAATTTGTCTATCATTATTAACAATTCCTGTGTGCCTAACATCTGTTATTTTTAGCCATTACTATCCCTACAGAAACCTACTTAGTACTTGTGTTTCTCTCATCTAAGGGAAAAAATAATCTAAAAGAGTACACCAACACAATCCTAGTAACAAGTGTAATAATCATAGGCAAACAAGCAGCAGACCTCCAACTAAAAATAGTATGGAATAAGAAAGGAACTGTAAGAAAAAGAAAAACAAATCCCCCCCCGATTTCCTGGATTGGTTTTAATTTGGAAAAGGGGTAAGTGCTCAGAGGTGAAGCTGGAGAAGACCTCTTTAAAGATTATAAATACCACAAGGTGGTCATGAAGCTGGACATCATAGCTCCTTTTGCATCCAGTTAAACTGAGCCAGACTCATTTTTTCTCCTTGTCAGGCTCTTGTAATAACCTATATTCTTCATCAGTGGCAAAACTACCTCTTAAGTACATATACATACTTTATATATATGTATACTGACGAACATCACAATCAGATACTAAGATTTTTTTAATTCCTACATGCTTGGAAGTCTTCTATATCATCCTTAGCACAGTGTAAAAATAGCACATGCTTAAGTCTAACTTCATCTGAAACTATTAATGCTACCTACATGAAACACCCAGATCAAGTTTTATTAATTCCTAATTAATTTTTGTAAATACACGATAATAACATCATTAGATATATAAATTATTTCTTGCAGGTTTTTTCTTTCAAAAGAAAAAAGTCTACCTGCAAGAAATAATGTATACACATAGCAATGTGATAGTCACAGGGGAACCAATCTTTTTTCAGAGAAAAAAGAACTGTCACTAATCCAGTATCTGTTGTTTAGAGAGTATAAAAATGAGATATATGCTCTTGAGGAAAGTGCTGTGCTGACAATTCATTGTAAAAGTTGTTAGAAGCTTCTTTTAAAATTAAAATGTGTTCTCTATAAAGTATATATCACTTGAAGTTAACTTAAATAACATTTGAGTTAACTGAAATCACTAATGCTTTCAGTTGATGGACAGCTGAATTCACTCAAGGAAGTGGTGTAAGTTCCTTAATGTATACCCCAGCCAGTGCTCAGCATTTTAAGTTACAATTCTGTATTTATTAGAATAAACTAGACTGATCTATGTGACTTAGCCACCATAGTATCACTTACACTCTAACTAGATAAAAGGATGTCATCTCTTTTATAAACATCTCCATGAAAATGCTATTTTTATGTCTTCTTGAAAACTAATCAGTGAATCATGTTTATCCCTCCCAAAAGACAGCCCTTCTTTTTCAATTTAGCATTAATGTTAGAAGTGTGGTTACTACTCAGAAATACATATTTTGAAAGACAAGTACCTGAAAGCAAACATAAAATTTACTATGTTGCCTTATAATGTTGTGTGAAAATTAATTTGTACGTTATTTCTTTGAATCAAACTCTCACAATCAGTCAACAATAACTAAAACAATCAAAAAATAAGCATGCATGCAACAGACAAGGATGCACCTCCACATAGAACTTTTTCATTCGGACGGTTGAATAAAAGACATTTACTGACAGATATTCTTTCTGCAGTTTAATCAGCGGATCAGAGTGTAACGACGTGATTAAAAAGTTGACAGAAGCCAAAATCTCCTTGCCCTCAAATTCATAAGTAAGCCGGACTATAACTAAAATGTCGTCAAGCTCTGCCTTCTGAGACCAGCGACACAAGTCTCCAAGGAGAACCCACGAGATGATGGACACTTCTAAAGGAGGGAAGAACTCCCGAGCACGCTGAAGGTCACACCGGCCAGCGCGCCTGCAGTCCCTGCCACCAACCGCAGCCAGCCTGGCACCTGGCTGAAACCTACACACATAAACCTTCTACATTACCGCCCTGAAAAGCCTTCTGTCAGCTGCAACACCGGAGACGAAGAGCAATTCCCTACGTGCCTGCCATCCCGCAGGACAGGCCACAAGGGGCCACAAGGGTGCCCCGGCCCACACCTCTGCTCCTCCGCCACGAACCTCACGAAGCCGCCGCCCGCCCGCCCACC